TTGTTCGATTGAGAGTAATCGTTATTACCTAATGCGGAAGTCTATTGTATCTATTGTTATATAAAAAAGTTTAAAAAAAAACGTCAATTTGAAAGATAATAAATGAAGCATTTACTTTAATAAAAAGAGTTGTTTTCCATCTGGTTGCATTTAACTGTTCTTGTTTAATGTACCAAATGTCATTATCTATTCTATAATGATTATCATTGAAATATTCTTGATATAAATCTATATCTTGATTAATATCATTAGAATATCTATGAAACCATCGTATATCTCCTTTTGGATTAGCATCAATAATACATTCTAATAAGATTTTATCATCAATTAAATAAGATGATTTTTCTATCAAAATCGATACATTTGGTGGAACTAAACAGAAAATAAAAGAAAAAAATTTTTTTTTTTTTTTTTAATTTATTAATTTAAATATTTTGTTTTGTTAATTGTATAAATCTTACATTGTACATCAATTTGATAAAATCGTCCAATTGTTCCAATAATATTTCTAGCTACACATTCATATATTCCATTATGATTAAGATTAATATTTAAAATATTTAATTGACAAATATTAGATGTTATTGAACAATTAATTATTAATTTTTGTTTATTTTCTAAGAATAAATAAAATATAAATAAAATAATAAATATATATTAAATAAATGTAAACCATCAATTTTTTTAATCCAATTAATATATGGTTTAGGTTTTCCTTGTGCTTCACAAATAATCGAAAGATTTTTTCCAATTTCTATTCGTAATATTGTTGAATATTGATGTGTTATAAAATAGGGTCGTTCTTTAATTAATAAATAATGAAAATAAAAAATTGATATTATAAAAAAGAATCTTACCAACAATATTTAATATAAATAATTTAATAATAATATTATCTACTTGACATGAATAAGTTCCACTATCGGATAAACGTATATCATCAATAATTAATGAATATATAATAATATTATATGATGATGTACTATTTATCATATTAAACATTTTTTTTTCTTCAATATGAAAACGTTCATCTGAATAAATACGAAATTTTGAATAATAAAATACTTCAGCATCTTCTATACGTAACCATAAACCCTTTAAATATTAAAGAAAAATTAAATTATTATTATTATTATTATTAATAAATGAATAATTAATTAAAATAACATTTCATTTTCATTTATTTGTTGATTCTTTCAACAGATATAAAAAGAAAAAAAGAAAAAAAGAAAAAAAGAAAAATCTTTATTTAGAAATAAAATGTTACTCATTTCAACAAAATCGTATATGAGAGTAACGAGATATTTATTTGATGCATCATCATTATCTAACTCAATGTATTTATAGTTGATTATTTGAACAACTACTGAATATAGTCGAACAATATCGAACCAATTATAATAATAAGCTAATTATTAGACTGTCTGTCTGCTTGTATTTATTTCTCTCTTATGACCTTTTAGAAAATACATTGAAGGAAGAAAAAAAAAAAAAAAGAAAAAGAAAGTTAAGTGAAGTGAAGTGATGTGAAGTCTTTTTCTTTTTGTCAATATATTTGTGTTAGATGAACGGTTCATTGTTAATGTGTCACAAGTCAAATAAATATCTCGTTACTCTCATATACGATTTTGTTGAAATGAGTAACATTTTATTTCTAAATA